CCAGAAAGTAGCCAATGGGCAAAATGATAATTTTTGCGCCAAACTAAAAAAAGGGTAGCCAAATTTGACGCAAAGTAGCCAAATCTTGCAATGCTGAAAAGAATACTAAATAATGCTGGCATTGGAACTCTAAGGATTATAGACCCAAATTTGAGAAAAGGAGAGAAAGGTCAAAAGATAAAAAGTAGTGACAAAGGTTGGATAATTAAGGGTCAATATTTGCATTACAGAATGTCTATTTAACCTTTCTCACAACTTTTTATCTTTTGGCCTTTTTCTTCTTTTCTCAAATTTGGGTCTATAATCCTTTGAGTCACAACTTCAGCTTTATTTAATATTCCTTCGTCATCCACACATCTTCCAGTATTTGAAAATATTTTCTTTTCACTCAAAAATAAAATATGTATAAAAGTTTACGGCTTTGTGAAACTTATTTTTTGTTTATGCCGTTGAAATAAAAAAATAAAAAATTTGTCGGTTTTGTTTACACGTTTATTGGGCCGCATTGAAACTTGCCTTGGGCCGCATGCGGCCCGCGGGCCGCGGGTTGGACACCCTTGATTTAAAGGTTCGGTAAGGTTTTGTGACGTAGTATAAAATGCTCGTTAATTAAAGGTATCCGTTATTTACGAGTGTCCTTTATTCTGTACGCACTCGACAGCAGTTTTCGTTTGGCGTATAATTTCTTCTACGACAAATTTTAGTACAGCGTAATTCTTAAAAGTGGATTATTCCAACATTATAAACTGAATAATACTGTATTAAAAAAAACCAAGATTATTAATAAACAGCTTTAATCGGAAAGAAGTTTGCAATATTTTCGTTTCTCTTCCGAAACGCCTGGCAATTTCGTGCTACGTGTCTGGCAAATTACCTTAATTTTACAAGTACGTAATACAGTATTTTATATTTAATTTATATACGCTTTGTCATCAAATACCAAATCTTGGTGGTTTTAATAAAGAATATGTTTCGACAAGACTATGTTTTGTTTATAAAATCGTACTGCCTGCCGCGTTACGAAGGAGTAAGTGTCAAAAGTTGCAACTTGGCACAAAGTATTACATGCCCGAATCACGCGCGCATAAATAAAACCAGACTCGTTGGTACTCGGGGGGACCGAGAACCGAGTCAAAATAGAATTCAAAATGGCGACGCTCTTTACAAACGCGCACGTGTTGCCCGTTGGGAAGTTGGAAATGGCACGCTAATGGGAACCGCTGCCTTATATAAGCGACTCTGCGTTGTTACGTCACGCTACATCATTGTCGGACTGATTTACTTTCAAATAAGGGGTGTCTCTGTGTATATTGTGTTCAAATTTGTTTGCCAATGATAACAAGAAAGTTCCTAAATGAGGGAAGTTACGTATATAAACTAAATTGAATTATTTTTATGGAGAATTAAATAAGTATATTTATAAAAATTTATTAAACAGCAGACAATACCAACAAATAGAAATATCAACTTTTATAATGAAATGATTATTAAGCGACATAATTATCCATTTAAAATATGTAATTTGTACTATTTCTCAATTACTGTACTATAAAATATTAATTTAAAGGATTGGAAGTTTTGATTTCAATTATTTTATTTTAAATTTTAAAGTATGTTTTCAATCCACCGACAACATATTATAACATTTAATCTGTCAGAAAACTAAACTTTACCGCAGATTTAAACAGGCTTAATTAAAACCGTCTGTCAATGGAAAACGAAAGAATCTTAGACCTTTGACTGACGGTGCCGAATAGCAAACCATTTTTAAAAAGAAATGCACTAATTGAGATGGAAAAAAATCCTACCACTGCGGCAATTGAGGATTCTTTCCTTCCACAATATTCTAAATTATTTAATAAACATTAATTTAATTATAATTATTAGGTTTAATAAAATAAGAGATGGCGGTTAACGCCTATCTCTAGTACCAAATTATTTAGGATTTAATTATCGATAGTAACGGCCAAGTATTCCGATTTAGGCTGTGTACACACTAGGCGTTTTGCGTTGCGTTAGACCAGCGTTTAGTGCAGCGTACGCACTGGCTCAGTTTGGAAATGGACGCGAAAGTAATTGCTCGCGTGCCCCTCTTCCATCGTCGCTATAAAAGACGATGACAGAGGCAAAGAGAATTTTAGGTGCACCCAATATTACGAGATAGACTGACGCGTGGAATGTTTGCGACGTTGTATCCAAAACTAAGACAAAATAAACCCAAGTTTTTTAATTCTTTTAAAATATCTATAAAATCCTTTGACGACGGCTGGTCTCTTTTAAATTTCATCGATAAATAGATCGGTATCGAAACGATCGTTCTCCATTTCGGCCAACGTACGTCCACTCTACCCGAAACCGCGCGATCGAATGTACAGTAACATGGCAGCGCATATATCTCAAAACGCTCGGCTGACGCCCGCAAAACTCACGTTTTAAGAAAAATCTATAATGTTTGAGTGTGTATGCCTTTGCAGAACTCTTGGTTCTTTAAAACGCTTAGTGTGTACACAGCCTTAATTACGGAAATCGTTTGGCTTATTATTATAACACCGGGCTTTGAGACTTCGAAGTAGTATTTAAGTAAAATAATGTACCGTACATTAAATTATGTTTTTTTAAACTCCGCTCCGTGGGCACTTTTTTAGCTACCCCATTCCGGGTTCGACCGGGTCCGCGATGGGGCGGCCGGGTGGCGAGGGACGGGGCCCGACGTATCCGGACGGATCACCCCCTAAAATTCCCGGTCTCCCGGAGCGATAGGTTGCCACTTCGACCGGCCGGGGTTAAAGGTCGAGATAAAGGTGGCACGGCGTCGGACGTAATGCCGATTTTACAATTTTTTAAAAAAATTTTCTCCTTTCCCTCAAAATTAAGCTTTTTGCCATTTTTTATAATTAAGAGTATAACAAGTTTTTGCTGATAAAGTATCCTAACAGATGGCGTCACACACGCAGTTTTAAATGGTGCAGGGAAACGAAGCGACTGGTTGGCGGATTTTATAAAAGATAATTCCGTGTATCTTTTAGCGTAAAATATTTTCCCAATGAGTACGAGATATTCTAATGTACATTATTTGGTAATTTATTTTCACAGAAGGTCAGATTCCTAAAGGTGCTTCGTACATAAAAGTTACCGAAGAAGAAAATGGTAAACTGAGATAAATTTAAATACAGTAGAGCGTCGTTTATCCGAAACCCTGTTATCCGAAACGTCGGTTAACCGAAAGCATTCCAGTCGGCAAAGAAAAATTTTCGCTAGTGCTGTGGCGCTGCAATCTTTGACTATATATTGGGCTACTCCAATATTTTTTTGTTTTAGCTGGCAGCACTGGCACTTTTATGTGGTGTTTTTCTGAGGACTGTGTTGTGCCGATTCGAACGTTTTTTATACTAGATCAACTTCTAAAGTATATATTTTTGGTTTTTATATTTTTCAATATATTTATTTTGTTTGTAAAAAAATAATTTTTAACGATACAAAAACCACGATTATTATTTTTAAAAGTTTACGTTAGGCTTAACATCGACGAAAATTCAACGCGAAGCGACACGCAACGGGGAAAAATTTCAACACGGGATATTTTTTCGTACGTAATCGGTTATCCGAACAACCGCAGTCCCCAATTGATTCGGATAAACGACGCTCTACTGTAGTTTATAATTATTATTGAAAATATAAATAAATGAATTAGAAAATGCTTTTACAGCCGGCGCTCGAAAGTGCAAAGGTATCGGGCCGACGGTGCAGGGAATTCCTTTGAGTTTACGAACCGTAAGTAAACAAATTACGCTTATTATTATTATTATTAGCGAGTATTTACAATTGACATTTGTACCGTCCGAGTCAATTAACGTCTACGTTTTTATTCCCAAATGTATTTGAGTTTGTCCGTTTATTTTTCTTCACGCGTTTTGCAAATATTCCGTAAGTAATTTGCTTTAACTGAGACGCACTAAATTAATCTAATAAAAGATTGACGGTCGACATTTTTAGCTACCCGTTCTGGCTTCTTTTTAATTAAATTCTTTTATATCTCGTGCCGACGTTCGGATTTGCGGTTACGGGATCCGTCCGTAAATTACGTCCGCGCTTTTCTCGAAATTTTTACTCTTCCTCCCCGCCGTCCGACCGAACTCGATCTCTACTCGAAACCTCTATTACTTTATGAATAACGAAACGAATAAATCGTAATAAAATTTAATAGAACGAGACGGACGTCCGTCGGTATTCGAATCCTTCCCTCCTTTCCGGCGCGGACGTCGTTTACGGACGGATCTTCGTCCGAAGCCCGCATTTATCGTGTTTACTTACTCGCGCGATGTCGCTCGATAAAAAATAGCCGTAATTTCCTTCGAATATTCGACGTGGTTTGGACGCTCTTTTTCCTTATTTCCGCGCGTATAATTGCTAGAACGAAAATAAAAGCTTTGTGTGACCCGCAGGGGCGCCGCTAGCTGTTTTAACGCCCGTGTGCAGTACCGATTATGCCGCCCCCTGTTTAACTACGACTACCTACGCTGCGGTTGCCAGAACAGCTCTAGTGTTTCTTTTCTTTTTTCACACCCCTATGAGGGTGTGAAAAAAGAAAAGAAATACTTTACAGAGAAAAACTATTTATTATTACTAACTTGTTTTTGTTTACTTAGGTATAAAACCATATAAATATTTATCTACAGAAATTGAACTCTTCTTGCCTTTATGTTTGCGAAATCTGCTATCAATTTTCTTGTATCCAAGCTGTCTAAGATTTCGTGTTCGATTGAAACTATAGCTAAATTACTTAGTCTTTGCTTGTGCATTGTTGATCTTAAATAGTTTTTTTAAATAATTTTTAACTTTGAAAAGGACCTTTCACCAAATGCAACTGAAACCGGCAATGTAAGTAATATTCTTAGTGCTATTGCTGTGTTAGGAAATGTTGAAATTAAGTCATCAGTAAAAAGGTATTGTAATAGGGTTTGTGGATCATTAGATTGGTTTTCTGGAAAATGCAACTTTAAAGTATTGATTTCATTAAATTAAACAAATCTCAATGTCTGTTTCACTACTTGAATCGCCTTTAAGTTTCAGATTTAAATCCTAACCGAGTTAAAATATCATTAATTAAACTTAGACCCATGTCGGAAGAATTATTAACAAAATAATTGCAATTTGATACGCGATAGAACTGTTCGAATGCGTACGAGTACAGAGAAGGAAGATCTGTGGGGATTCCCTATTTTCGTCAGTCCTGTCGACTTGTGTCGTAGAGCACGACTATGGGTTCTTGGCCTTTCGGGCGCCGCCGGATGGTTCGACCTGCCGACGGACGTTTCGCATTGCATCTTAATTCTGATAAATGCCAATAGAGGTGCTGTTAAACTATAATATAAATAAGAATATAATAATTGCGTGCTGGTCGGATTTTATTTCTTTGTGCAAAGACATTTCTTATGCTGTAAGTAGGGTGGGTATTAAGACAGTGACTTTGAATAATTCTTGACCGATCGCTCGATTTGCCGCCCTCTGGACGTGCTGCCTGCGTGCGGTGCACGCCTTGCACGCCTGCTTACGCGCGGGCCCGGTGACCCGTTCGTTGTATACCCTGCATGTCCTTTCGACTCCTAAAAAAAGGAGTCGAAAGTTTTTAAACCGAGATAACCCGTGGGTTACGTGCGCGGAAATAGCGCACGTGTGTGAAGTTAGACTGCTTAGTAGACCTTGCCGGTTAACTAGGAGAAGCCCCATTTGATTGCCCTTAGGGGATCGAAAAGAATCGACCGGGAGCGAGGGCTCGAAGTCCAATCCGCACTTTCTGCATGNCAACAAGTTTTTATTCTATAACTGTGAAACTGTCAACATTACATCAAAAACTATGATTTTATGTTTAATTTTTTCATTTTGTCTTTATCTAAGGACGAAAATACTCGTGGAATTCCAAAAGTGCTTCAATCAAATTACAAATACCCTGCATGTCCTTTCGACTCCTAAAAAAAGGAGTCGAAAGTTTTTAAACCGAGATAATCCGTGGGTTACGTGCGCGGAAATAGCGCACGTGTGTGAAGTTAGACTGCTTAGTAGACCTTGCCGGTTAACTAGGAGAAGCCCCATTTGATTGCCCTTAGGGGATCGAAAAGAATCGACCGGGAGCGAGGGCTCGAAGTCCAATCCGCACTTTCTGCATGGTGTGATCCGTCGGCGACTCGCCTCCGACCTCGTCCGTGAATTTTTCGACCGGTGGGACGCGATTACGGAGCGTGCTGAGAATCTCCGGGTCCGACCGGGATACCGTACGACGGACCGTCCCCGTCTTCCAAATATCCGTTACGTAGCCGGCAAAAGAACTAGAGAGACTTAACTGGGATGTCTTAAGAGTTTGCGATGCGAGAAGGGAGAACGGAAAACTGAACTGGACGGAGTGTATTTGACTACGGGGAAACAGATAATGGTAAAACTAGTGGAGGAGGATTTATTTGCAAAAAATGGAAAAATTATATAGGCCTATTGAATTCGATAGCGCGTTGGATAGAATTGCTAGATTAGTTATTAGAAATATGGATCGTCCGAGTTTATAAACCGACAACTAGTCACTCCGACGAGGATATTGAAGATCTCTACAAATGTAGGTGTGATGAATTGGAAAGGAAATCGTTAAGATAATTGTGGATGACTTCATTGTGAGAGTTGGAGAAAAGGAGGATGGAAACTGTGGCTGTGTTACAAGAAATGAAAAAGAAGCTGACGTGTCAAATTAGTAGAATATGAACAGCTGTACATTATGAAATTTTTTTTTTTTTTTTTTGGACGTCTGCTTAGCGCCTCCACCATACGGGCAATCTTTTTTATATTCTTTTAAAAAATGAAATAATTTTGTATATTATCAACTAATACGGTACCGGGAGTTACGGCAGTCACTCCCCGCCAAGTAAAAACGCTTCCGACTGACTATATATACAAGAATCGGAGTTTCCGATTTTCGGAAGTCTAGTTCTCTGCCCCAAACACCCGAATATCTCGTTCGAAAGAAAATTGTTTTCTTAGGTAGTGTGCAAATTTTCTATAACGCAGTTGCCGAAATACGAGCCATCGAAAAGTACAAAAATCGCCAAAAAGCTGTACTTTCTTTTTTTTTTCTTTCTTCGGCAGTACAGAGGCTCCCGGGGTAAAAACTACCGGGTCTAGAAAGCTCAAATTTTAAACTTAAGCCTTTCTGGTTATCGTTGAGGCGCTGGCCAAACTTCCGGGTTCACCGGGGTTTGTTTTACGGCTTAATTTTATGATTATAAAGATAAAATTGTCGGAAACAAATGAATTTTATTCAAAAGTCATACAGTTCGTCATAAAAATGATATGTTAAACAGCCTCCCCCTTATACCAATTTTTTTCATATCATAGGCTATGCCATACTACTATGTAATCAAAAAATTTTTGTAAAATACATCTATGCTGTACCATTATATGTCAAGTAAGCAATTTTATGTGATCATCACCTCGCGTTTTTAGTTATGTTCCTACTAACCAATACCGTAAAACTAACCTTAAATTATATTTTTTTGTGTAATCTTAACAGCACCGAAGAGGGGTTGGGAATTTAAGCCAACCCGAAATGCATATGAGTTAGGAATTTTTTAAATAAAACGTACGTTTTGTAACCAATTGCTGTCCGTTCGTCTACCAACTCGTTTTGGATTACACAGACGCTACACACTGCATCCGATGTTTTTGTTTAATAATTGTATTATTACGTCAAGACATACGATCGGTCGGCATCGGCCGATCTAAAAACTTTCGACGGTTTATCAGCTTAAATTACATTTAATATCTAAAGAAATACGTGTTTCAAACCTTTTTAGACTGTAAAAATATCAATTGGACGAAGAACTTTAAAAAATTATACACGTATTCACTTTTAGATTATTTTATGTAAATTTCACTAATTTTATTTAAGGTCACGCGGATTAAAGTTCGATTAGAAATTGTTGATAATCGATGGTAAAAATTGGACTGGTCACGACATTTGGTGGATACTCGGCCAACGTCTCGATCACCCGTATTCTTACACCGCGCTTACGATTTTGAATTGTGGAGTAGGTATGTTAGGTGGACGGTCCCTACGCTCTCTACGCTTTAAAGCCGGTTCGCCGCATCCGAACGGCCTAAGCGGCTGGGGTGAAAATTAACCGCTCCGATGGATATTTTCTTTTAGACGTCTGCTTAGCGCCTCCACCATACGGGCAATCTTTTTTATATTCTTTTAAAAAATGAAATAATTTTGTATATTATCAACTAATACGGTACCGGGAGTTACGGCAGTCACTCCCCGCCAAGTAAAAACGCTTCCGACTGACTATATATACAAGAATCGGAGTTTCCGATTTTCGGAAGTCTAGTTCTCTGCCCCAAACACCCGAATATCTCGTTCGAAAGAAAATTGTTTTCTTAGGTAGTGTGCAAATTTTCTATAACGCAGTTGCCGAAATACGAGCCATCGAAAAGTACAAAAATCGCCAAAAAGCTGTACTTTCTTTTTTTTTTCTTTCTTCGGCAGTACAGAGGCTCCCGGGGTAAAAACTACCGGGTCTAGAAAGCTCAAATTTTAAACTTAAGCCTTTCTGGTTATCGTTGAGGCGCTGGCCAAACTTCCGGGTTCACCGGGGTTTGTTTTACGGCTTAATTTTATGATTATAAAGATAAAATTGTCGGAAACAAATGAATTTTATTCAAAATATTACTCAGAATTATAAAAGTTTTAATATAAATTTTATAACGATTTTTCTAATCAACGTACGAAA